CGGCACATGAAATTATATGTGTGCTAGAATAGGCGCCTTTTAAATTTAAAATCCAAGCGAGCTTGCAAGTTTTAGCTTGCTCGCGAAAAATATACATATTTTTATTAAATCATAAAACAACACATACTAAAAATGAAATAGCTTTCTTAACAATTTTATTGATTTTAAACATACTTTTAGTTAGAAAACAAAACACGTCTAACTTTAGATTTTGCAGAATTTAATGTTAAAGTATCAATATCCACAGATTCAGAAATTTTGTTTTCGATGGAAATCATTGATTAACCATTTAAACGTTCCTGGCTCATTGTTGATTGTAAACAGTTTATTATTAATTTTAACTTGAAAAAACTTAGATCCCCTGTACTCACTGATACCGGTAGTGTTAGTAATATTCGTAGAGAAATACAAACATTAGGAAGCAGTTCTTCAAGCTGACTCATATATCCATTTAAGCACAGATACCGGTAATTTTTTCCCATTTCCGTGATAACAAATTAAGTTACAAAAGCAAATCCACGTAATACACATCTTTTGACTCACCAATAGTCAATACTTTTTCTAGTAATCTGCATTTATTAATTATGTCTTCATCTCCTATTTTGTCAATATCTTTGATATCATACAAAACTCGAACGGTTCTATTGTTCTTGAAAAACTTTCAAATTGTTCCTTTATCGATTCTTTAGCTATTTTAAAGACAAAATCAAAAAACTCCTTTTTGAATTTTTGGTTTGGTTGTATATTACCATTTTCTTCAAAAGGTTCATTATTAAAAAATCTTTTTTTTTATTGCTATTTCACGCGAATTCGTCAGTCCAATTTGTATCATTAGCAAGAATTTCGGCATTTGAAATATATAATTTGTAAGAATCTTCAGTGTGCTTAGTAACAAAAAAATTGATAGTTTTTTCTTTAATGCATCTGCAGCAGTCTTTACGCCTACTTTGAGATTGTAATAGTTTACTAGTACAATTAGTTTCAGTTAATACATCTTGCCAAACCACAACACCACATATGAATTCAAAACTGTCTAACTTTGATGCAAGTGATTCAGCAGTTAATCTAGTAATGGAATCTTTTTCAATGTTGACAACTTCTTTCAATGCACAACAAATTTCTTTTAATCCCAATTTTTGACCACGAAAAGCATTTACATGACCTTCCCATCTGGTAGTCTGATATGATTTACTGTAAGTAAGGTATTGTAAGTAAGGTACATTTTTTCAAAAAGACAATCAATAGTTTGAAATACACGTCTTTTCTTCAAATCTATCCATTTCCCAAATGAATGGTAGTATTCTGCACTGCTTTCATGTCTTTAAAATTTATAGCAAAAACAAAATACTTTGTCTAATTTAAGTGAATAAACAAGCCAAGATCTGTTGATTAATTCTCCGTTAAGAGCTTTGAGATTAAAAGGTACATATTTAAATGAACGGTTTTGATCATTTTTTGGGTAAGCAGCAACAGAAAATTTTGTAAGTCCTTTTGTAACTATGTCTTGAATTAATATTGAGAACAAAATTTCTGGCCAATTCTCTAAATTGTTATTGTTACTTTCATTCACACAAACAGACAAATTCATGTTATTGTTTGAAAGTTCGATTTCCAAATTCAATTCCACAACTGCATTAGTTTTACTATATCCTTCATTAATGTTTTCAATACCAATTATATTCATTTCTCCTTCATTTTTTTTATCACTTGAACTTTTTTTCTTGTTTTGATATGGTTTCTCATATTCAATTTCATTCTCTACAGCTGTTTGAAGAAAATTATGAAGAGTTTTCTGCTTTTTGAAAGTTCTGCTTGTTTTTTTCTCTTTTTAATTTATTTTGCCAACAAGAAAACTTCTTTTTTTGATCCATTTTATTTAGGAACAGTATAGATTTGTTGCTATTTTGAATCACCTATCAATAAAAAAAAATACAAAACAGTACATAAAGATTACTTTCGCATATCAACTTTAGCAAAAAGTACTGTCTGTGTAACAGACTTTGTACTTTTTGCTACTTTTTTTGCGTTTTTTATTTATTTTTCATTTGGTTTAATGCAAGTTCCTTAACATTTCATGCCTTTATAATACCTTTTTAGTTTCATAATATAACAATAACATTCTTATTTTTTCAATATGATTTATTTAAACTATCAAAAATATGCAAAAAACAACTCATTATGCAATGCATCATAATCTGAAACCGCACTACCTGCATCAAAATAGGCATTTCTAATTGCATGCAGTTTTACTAGCTAGATTTACTATTATCAACAAAAAATAATAATGCACAAAAAATGAACAAAACAAAAAATGTGTAAAAATAATTATATAAATAATAAACTAACAAGGAGATTTGTATTATTTTATAAAAACGTTTAAGAAAATATTTTTTAAATCTGGAAAATAAGGTGCAAATATGTCATTCACAACTGACAATAATAATTTTAGGCGGGGACCTATTTCAGTAAAGCTAGCACCAATGTCGGCTATCTTGTCTAGAAATAAATAAAAAATGTAAACTTTCGTCTAATTGCTTAGCAGAAAACATTGAAAAAAAACTGATTTGGATTGGACAAGAGGCATAACTTAGTTTTTACAAAAATGGACTTGGCACTTTTTGTATTTTTAGTTAAATCTAGAAAGGCCTCTATATATTTTGTTTATAAGAAAATTTTAAATTTTGCGCCTTTTTAATGCTGCGCCTGTGTATTTCGCACACTTTGCACAGACTACGAGCCGGCTATGCCTGTGTTAGACATTTGCTGAACCAATATCTGACCGTGATTAGCCGTGAGAAAACCATTATTGGCCTAATATTGGAGCCATGATTTATGCAGTAATATGCCGATATTTACCCAATAAAGGCCCGATTTGTGCTTCCCAATACTTGCCCAATGTTTAAGGCCAATATTGGCCCAAAGTAGTAGCCAATAAATGCCCAATAACGGCCCAACGATTTTGTGCTATCTGGGAAGAAATCTTTTACGTCAGAACTCTTATTTCAAAAATAACATGGATGTTAAGCATGAGTAAACAAAATTAGCATGAAAACAATAATCAAATAAATGTTAAAAAATAAAATGTAAATTACTGTGACTTTGCAGTCCCAAAATTATGATGAGCAGCTTTAAATTAGTTTATATGATATCTCTAATAAATTAACTTTTTTCCATATTTGCTTACAATTCGAGTAGTACTTATATGCTTAGACCAATTCCAAATAGTAAAGTTTTATTTTCTGAGGTTTCATTTGCCAAATTAGGAATATTACCCTGTTTTTTAGTTACATGCTAATTTATAATATATTATAAATATAATATTTATAATATATTACAAATAATAAGCTTAAAAAATCAATTACAATTTGCCAAAAAAAGCATATGTGATATACACTTAGAAAGGTATAATCTTTTATAGTAGAAAATTAAATCGTTAAGGTAAAAAATTGTATGTCAAATTTTTATTTTCAGTATAGTTTTCTACCATAAAGGATAGAAAGTTATATCTTACTAGAGGTATATGACATATCCTACCATCAGGTTCGAATTTTTACTTTTTTTTAATGTCTACTTGTACCTGTAAAAAAAAGATTTCTTTTAAGATGAGCATTTTTTTAATAGTAGTTCGGAATGGACTTGTAGACCTACTTTAAAACTGCTACCTTTACCATCAGCTTTAATCTAAAACAGGTTTTTTTATATTTAAAAAAATATGTTACTCTGTATGAATTACTAAACAATTATGTAAAATAAAAAGGTTGTACCTTTCTTTTCTTAATGAACTTCCATGAAAATTATAAAGCATTTTTTGCAAAAAACAGAAGGTTTAAATAAAAGTAATTTTTTTTTTGGTAAACTTGGACGATTCTAAGAATGATGTGTTTGTGTGAGGCGAGTTGATAATAGAAGGAAGGGGGGGGGGGGGGAAGGGAAAAGGTTTTTATACCCGCCTTTCCCTAAAGAATGCGTTTTTGAAGTTATAATCAATTTTTTAGGAATATAGACGGTTAGTACGGTATTTAACAATTTTAGTCAGGTATTTTTAGTTTTGATGAAATTTTTTTTGTTTAAGAAAACAGTTGGTACTTATTAAGGATTCGCCCCACATACCCTTCTTTTATTCCTAGAATCACCTTTGTTAGTAAACCTTTTTTGAACTTATTTTTCTCATTTAAATGTTACACCTACGGCTAACAAAACCAATCAAAAGTTCTGGGTTTTAAAAAGGTAAAGAAAAACACAAAAAATAAAACATTGTTTAATATATATTATCCTATGATTAAATAAGTTTCAATAAATTATCTTTTAAATAAATATATAAATATATAGTGAAAAATAATATCTAAAATTTATTGTTTCGGAATCAAAAACTTCAAGATCAACAGTTTCAAAGAATTTTTATAAACCTTAACCCTAACCCTCCTGCTAACACACCAGCGTTGGCCCAATGTCGGCCCAATACTTCTTGTAACGTTGGCCCAACGTTGACATCCAAAAATGGGCCGATTCCGTGATGGCCGCCGGGCCTACATTAGCCCAATAGCATTGGCCTAATACAGTTTAGCCAGCGTTTATCCGACGATATATTTTATTAGGCCTAAAGAATTACAAACGCTATTTGTGCTAAGTACGTAGTTAGTTCAGCCAATATTAACATTAAATCTCTTATATTCGTAATTTTTTAGTGTTTAACAAAGTCAATTGCAATCGGCATTGGTTATGCTTGATAACCATTTAAATTGCTTTAATTAAGGCAAACAGACTTGACCTTTAAAAGTGCGTTGCCATCATGTGTGTATGAATTCATTTAAGGTAAATTTACTTATAAGTTATTTATCAAAATGAATTTTCAACGTAAAAAATAAAACATTTAATAATATGAAATATATATTAAAGAATATTAAAACTGGCAATTATTAGTTTTCATCGTCATCTGCACCATTTTCACCTTCTTGATCACACAGTTGCGAATCCTCATTCCTCAAACGTTTGCGCCCCCCTGATCCATCAGACTTTTTTCTGTGAAACGAATTACGAAGCCATGTCTTTACGAAATCACTTATTTCCATTTAGGTATCATTTTTTGCAAATGGATTGTGCTGCGATGCACCTAATCAATAAAAAATATATATATTATTTAATACAACGTACACACGAGTACGAGTTATAACTTTTATACAGTTGGAACTTTAAAATGAAAAACTATTTAAAATTCGATGAACTTTAATTTGAAAGTCAATAAAGTCATTGCTCGGGAGTAAATAAAGTATATAAAGTCATTGTTACATTCAGTTACATGTATAAATTATAAAGTAAAATGTCACAAGCATGACAAACCATATATAAGTAAATTTTGTTAAGTTGCACCTAAAGTGCCCTTCAAACCATAACTAACAACATGCTTTAATCACCAACCGTAAATTGCAGATAACATCTTCATGTTTTTGATCCCTTGCTTTAGCCCTCCACGGCCATCAAAGTTTATTTGTTGAGAAACTTCTCTGGCCATTAACTCAGATAGAACGTTTTTCACTGTCTCCACAACAGTTCGCCCACCGATCTGACCAAAAAATAGGCCCATAAAGTTTTTAATAAAAAAACGTAAAGCAAAAAATTCATATAAAAAATATAAACTAAATTATTATACCACTGCATCCAATGAAGCTTTTTCGAGTAGAATCTGCTCAAGATGTTCTAATTGTATGATGGTACGCAATCACAATGATATATTCGCAGGTAATGTGACAGCAATATCTAATGAGCGAACAACATTCAGTATCATTGTTTGCTGCGCAAGACATGTATCTAATTTTTGCTCTATCTTTGTAAGGCGAGCACAAACTAAATGAAGTAAGGTAGGATGATCAACTTAAAAAGATTAACTTCAAATGAACAAAACTATTTAAGTTACAATCTTCACCTAATTTATTCTACACAGCAAACACTGAATGCAGAAAGAAAAACACTGAAAACAGTTTGACAACAGAACAACATTAACAATATTTTTAATGCTAACAGTTTAATTACCTTGGTTATTGCCACTTTCTGTGTGGAATGATGTGCTAACGATTTTGAAGAGTGCATGATCAGCTTCCCCTTGATGAAAGATTTCACAAAAACATTACACAACTTGTAAATATTTTGCGTTATAATATTTACAACTATAAAACAAACAAAAAATTAAAAAATTTAACTTACCTTGCAACATTAATAAACCACGTGATTTGTTATGCCGTTTATCACTTACATTACTGACTAAAAGAAAAGTAAACATATTTGAAATTTAAAAAGAAACAATATCGTGTTTTCATATTGAAATATTTTGCAGCAACATTTTTTGTGATTTTCTGTTGTAATAAATAAACTGCTTGCACTAGATACTATTTTGAAGCGAAACAAGTGATTGTATAAAAATATACTCAAGTTATTATATGACCAAAACAGCTGTCTTCGAATCAGAATGAAATCATGAATGGAATCACAAATCAAGTCAGCAATTAGAGAAAAAACAAAATGAAGCATCTCCTCCCCGCCCCCCCCCCAAAAAAAAAAAAAACCTCTATAAGCAAATTCTTTTTGCTCGGATTAATTTTTCCCTACATGGACATTATTACTTTGCAGTTAAGAACCATTTAAACTGCATTCAATAAATTAGGCATATAAATTTGTGAAAAAGAAAAAAAAAAAAAAAATAGATACCTGAATCCAATGTAAATTTGCCTAAATTTTTAGATTTCTTTTGTTCAGTGATATTTTGTTTGCTAATTGCTAAAATGCTGCTTTCTAACATATCATGGATCGGGATTTTTCCAGACATGTTTCCTCAACCTTTGTAAAAATTACAAAATCAAAGGAAATATTTCTTAATTATACTACAATCTATTTTTATTATATTTAAATATTACACTATTATCATATTTAATACTATATTATATTATTTATGTTTTTTAATTAGGCTGTTATCATTCACCACCCCTTTTTTAAAAAATTCCTCCCAAGAAAAGTAGGAATTGTAGGCAATCTACGTTCATCATAATGCTTTGAGACTGTTTTTCAATTTCCGATAGATAATCAAGATTATCTACATCAGAATTGTGTTTTCTTTTTGTATTCTGCTTACGATTGGCTTCCTCATTTTCAGATTCCAAGTTAGATTGGCATTCTGCGGTTTTTGAGTGCTTTCGGGCTGCTTCTAAAGTGCCTGAACAGTAAAAAGGAATTTAAAAAAATAAAAGGAATAGAAATTGTTTGTTTTTTAAAATCTAAGTTTGGCTGTTCAACATTGAAAGAAACTAATTTTTGGAGGTCAAAAAATAAATGTAGACCTACCAGGCTTTGAGTAAGTATTCTATATACACCCTACATTACAAACACATTGTTACCAACTGTTAGTAGACAAAAAAACTATCATATGCAGACAAAACAATTAGAGGAGACACTCTATTAGTAACTCTATATATTCCGAGTTCACTTGAGTTTAATGGATAATCAAATAATTCTGACAACTGCAAATATTTTTGACAAGTTACAAATATAGTGCCATTTTGATTATGTTTTTCAATATGCAGAAATCACCGCCACTAGTAAGAAAATGATTGTTAGAGTTTTTTGATGACAAAGAGAGACAATAATTTCCTATATTTAACTTCCTATATTGTTCAACATCTGAAAATGTTAACAAAGGACCACAACAATGAATACTTTTTGGTACAAGAAAAGGTAAACTGTTCAAAATATCAAGCTTTGCTTTTCTGTTATGTGTATTAAGTTTTTCTGTGAGACGGCTGCATATTTGTTGCAAAATATTTTGTGGTTTTCTTACTATTTTTTTTAAAACACCAAGTTGATTTTCATAAGGAAAGCAACTAAAGTCATCTAATGATCCTAACAATTTTACATCAGCATAAATGTGAACCAAATTGTGTATGAGCTATAACCAGAATGGCATTTGATGTTCTTCAAAAAAGCTCTTGCAGGTGCATCACATACAAAAGAATGAATTGAAAAAGAGTACAAAATATTTTTAACATTTAGGCCATTTGAGAGCAAGTCTTTTAGCTCCATCACGAACTCAGAAAGGAATTTCTCAAGACTTTTCGGTTTTCTTTTTCCACAAAACATACCTACCAAAAATGGAGCTGAGGGAAAATTTAAAATCATGCATAAGATTGGCCATAAAACAACACCAGAAGTTTTGAAAAACTGCAACCCATCAACATTAAATTGTAGAACAAGAGAAGTTTTATTTATTTGTATTTGTTTTAGGATTATATTTGTTAATCCAGTTTTTAAACCTAAATGACAATACTCCCCGTCACTATCTAATAGCTTAACAATAGTATTTCTTATAGTGCCTTTAAAAGTGTGCAAGGATCCATAGGCAAGTAAGGAAAATATAGTTTTAAAACAGTTAATAAGTTACGCAAAGAAGCTTAAGGAATGCTACAACTAACGGCCAAATGAGCTAACTCATTAATAAAATTAATATTGCTGTCATTATCATCACAACCAGACTCATCAGAAGACTAATCAGAAGTATTATTTGAACAAATAAGCATATTTTCTTCAGCAAACATAATCTTGTTTATTTTATCTTCATCAAAATTGACAGAGTCTATTTGCTCAATATAGCAATCTTTACCCGATATTACATTTTTTATAGAAGAATTCGAAATGTTTTCGCTATTTTCAAGATCAAACACACAATCAACTATATTAATACCAGCTATGTTATCACAATCAGACACCCCAAGAAAAGTATTACCAACATTTCTGTCGAAACGTAATGAAGTTTCAGTATATTTTTCAAAATCATAGCATAAATATTGGATTTAGGCTGCTGTAAGTGTGGCATATTTTTTTGTACACGACGCCTTAATGTTTATTTTTTTATTCATATTTGCACTTAAAATTTATGTTTTGATAATATTATAAAAAGATATAATATCCCTGGATAGAACTAAAAAGTTCGTTTGCTTTTCATAAAGATTTACAACGATGCTATTACAAAAAGCAAACTGCTTACAAAAAGCAAACTGCTTCGCGTTGGCACTTCGTTGGACCAACGTTAGTCATCCAATCAAACGTTAAACCAACAACGGCCCAATTAAGCATGTGTTAGCTGGGCCTGACTTTTTTTAATATTTGGTAAAACTTGATTTGACAGATTTTCAACAATGTTTTACTCGTATGCATTTAGCAATTTTGCTAATATTTCTCTCTATGAAATTTCTGTGAATTTTCATATATTTCACATATATATATTATATATATATATATATATATATTCGTCAACGCAAGGTGAGCATAATGAATAATTCCTACATCCAATTTATTTTATAGAGGTATAATAAACTGGGTGGAGAACGAAGTTAGAATATATCATTTTTCAAGAAATAGTCTTTGTATTTACATAATTTTTTATTAAACACCGCGTAATTATCATAACTTAAAGTTACCCAATCACATTTCTCTTTTAACAAAAACTATATAATGATATTTCTTTAATACGTCATAAGAAGTTTAACCACTCCAAATAAACGATGGAAGTTTAAAAAACGTAAAAAGAATATTTAGAATTAATTTATTGTTACATTTTTTATGTTGCGCACGGGTATATACAGCTAGTCGGATACATTTCTTAAAAAAGAGACGGATATTATATTATCATCTACTTTTTTAACGATCTAATTTTTGATTTTCAATTCTTTTTCACATGATTTTGGCACATGATATAACTGCCAATAGATTTTAGTAACTGTCAATTATCAAATTTAAGGCTTTTTTTCTCAATCTTCGGACGACTTTTAGTATAATCAGAGCAAAAAGTGTGGGATTGATACTCATATATATAAATATATATCATCACCAGAATTCGTTTAAAATGCGGGCAAATTTCAATGCGGTTTTTATAATTTTTAACATTTCGCGATTACCATGGGAACTTCCATAAGTTGATTTTGACAGTTTAAAGTAGCCTAAGTCTTCTTGACATAATAGTAACATGCCTATGCCTACAAAATTCGCCTACCCATGCAGAAATTAAAAATTGACTCAAATGGGAACGAGTACAACTTGAATTTGACAGTTTTAAATAGCTTATATGCCATTTTGACATATTAGTAACATGCCAACAACATTTTATTGAAATCTGTCTATCCATGCAGAAAACAAAATTTAACTCCCATGGAAACGGGCACAATTTGAATTTGACCGTTTTAAATAGCTTCAATGACATAATCGTAACATGCATACAAAATTTCACTGAAGTCTGACTACCCGTGCAGAAATCAATTTTTATGACTCTCATGGGAAGGGACATAAGGATCAAAGCACCCAGATGCTCACTAACTAATTTGGTATCATAGCAATCCATAGATTTGTATCGACACCATTTGAGCCACAAAAATTCATTATGTGCATATATAAAAACTTTCATCTGTATACTCGTATATGGACTCCTTATAAAAAACTACTGCCATTATTATTTCCTCCCCTAGGCCGAATTTTTAAATTTAAACTTTTTACTTTGTCTAAGCACATCATAAGCTACCTAGGTAAAGATTTTAGCTTTCTAGCTACCAGGCAAGCTGGAAAGTTAGTGATGAGTGAGTGAGTGAATCAGTGAATTAGTGAGTCAGGACTTTTCCTTTTATTTTATAGATATGACAATATGTTATTAAATCCATCAAAAATACTGCAAAACTATAAAATAAGTTCTTTGCCGAATAAATGTTCTTTTAGAATGTAACAAACCAATAGCTAAACGGAGATGCGAAAGATAAGGTATAACAAGTAAAGGTTGTCTAAAACTTTGATATTAATACTAGGTATTCAAAAAACTTTACTTAGGTCATGATTTTTTGTGATTTTTACTTGATAGTTGGAACAGTTGCTAAAAACTCATCCAGTCAACTTTTAAGAGAGTAATCAATTTCGACTACAGCTTACAAAAGCCACAAACTTCATTTCAAAATTATTCTTTTTCTATCCAAAGGCGCTGTTTTGACTTGCCGCTCGAATAACTATACAACAAAGACTGTACTACAATTTTAAACGACTTTCGGCACCTCCTTAAGTAAAGTTCAACTTCAGAAATATTTTGAGTTAATTTTACCTTAAAGTATAAGTCTATAGAAATAATCAATTGTTTTCCACATGTTGCTAAGTTAATCTTATTTGAGAAATTCTTCTTGAAAAACATTTGCTGCATATTTTTTATCAAGGTTCTTTATTTCAGTTGTTTTCGAAGTTAGTGTACAAAAATTTAATACTTGCGTTTCGATTGTACATTTGAAAAATTAGTGTGTGTGTTTGTCAATATAAAAATAATTTACTATCGTAATTTATAAAAAAAAACACTTACATGACTGGAGCTAGAACAAGTCAAACTTAGTCTTATCACTAAACCCCATATTTTTTAAAATGTTTTTGCTTGAACACATCTAAAAGCATGAAAACATTAGGATGCTTCTACTGAAGGCAGTGCAGTAAACCACTAAGCAACTAAAGATGTGAATTTGTGTCTTTTTAAATAAGAAACCTCAACAGAACATTTGTTGCAATTCTTCAATGCAGTTTTTTGGGATGAGAGTTTTAATTTTAATGAGTGGTTTTTCTTATAATAAAATCTAATTTTGTTAATTATATTAAAAAAGTTAGCCTAAAAATATAACATATATATGATCATTACCTGTTTAATTATTATATGTATACAAAATCTATTAATCACTTGGTATAATATATATATATATATATATATATATATATATATATATATATATATATATATATATATATATATATATATATATATATATATG